GGGCGAGTGTGGGGGAGCCGCTGTGCGAGGCGCCCCGAGGGCTCGGGTGGGTGGGTGGGTTTGGTGTGTCACCTCTGCAGTGGACCAAGCGTTGCACTTGGGTGTCAGGGAATGCAGAGTGGGCCTGGTAATTCCCACTGCTTCGTGATTGTTTAATAGCTGTGTAAACCAGGTAATCAGTAGCGTGAGCGCTGTTCTGATGAGGAGGTTGTGTTAGCAGTACAGGGAGCACAGTTGTCTGCGTTTAGTGATACAAATTAGAAAAAAACTGCACAGAAGTCTGGGATCTCCTGAACATAAATGGATGGATGAGAGTAGAGGATTTGCCACCTGCGTGGTAGCTCGCCTCTTGGTCGTGTGATTTGTGAAGTAACTCCAGTATTATATTTAGAAAGTGCAGTCTGAATTGGGTTACTGTTATTTAATGTTACAAAACTACCAGGTAGCTTTTCTAGTTTGCAGATTCAGCAGTCACCATTGCTGCTTCTAAAAATCATAATCCTTTAATTCTATTTTCACTATTAGGTGCGTCATTTAGTCATGTTCTATGTTACACAATTGTTAGAATGCTATTTGTATAGATACTACTGCAACAGCACCTTTGAGACTGTTTAAGAAAATTAGGATGTGCTCTGTATGTCAAAGACTGTAAGAGAGGGGAGTTCCAGTTTTATTTTTTGTTATGAGTCTTAATTGGAATCTGAGACATTTGTTAAATGAACGATTTATATGTAAACAAAAATATTGTTAAAACGACCCACTGCATCTGTCAATTTTAATGTCATTACCTGGACTGATGTACGAAATGGTGCTGTCTGGACACAAGCTGTACATGTATGGTAAGTTGTTGATAAATAGTGATTTCTTGCATTTTAGTCTCTTTCTGCATTCTGCCCAGTAGTTCTTCTTTCTGGAAAGTATTTGCATGCTACAGCCACAGTTTGGGGGGTTTTATGCAGCTTGTAGCAATTATTAGTCTTTTTGCTTTGGTTTAGAACTTTGTCTGATATTTATGTTGGATCCCATCTAAGAACAATAACCATTCGAAAGAATTTTAAAGTACCTGCTGTGCTTAGCCAGAGTGTACTATTTATAGCTTTGTGAGAGACTTGGCTGCTTTTATGTTAGTAACATAAAAGTTGAAATTGGCCAAAAACTTGAAGGAGGGTGTATATTTTGTTAGTAAAATATCTTGCAGTTTTCTGTCAGGCTTTGTAACTACCAGAGCTGCTGCTGTGCTCCAAGTGGTTGGACAGCCAAAGGTAAGATTTCTGATGATGTCACAGGCTCTTCCTGTTTTTCACCAAATCGGCCCATTTGGAGAAATAACTTTAACGAGCATTTAAGTGTAGGCAGGAAGGGCAAGTGGCCATCAGCATAACGCAGCTTGACTTCTTTGTGAAAATTAAACTTTGGGGAGCCAGAGCTCGCTGGGTGCTGGTTCACCTCCGGCGTTCCCACCGCTGGCCTCAGCTTGCGGTGCTGCTCTGGTGACTTCCTCTCCAGACCGTGCTGGATTTCCTGTGGCAGTCTTTCTCGTTACCACAAGTGCTTTCGGAAGTGCAGAGGGTAAAACCGATTTAGAAATGTTGCGAGTTAGCAAACTGACTTCTGCTGATGGAAATGGAGGGAGCAGGGAGCAGGCTGTGTCCTGCTGGCGATGGCTGGGGGACAGGCTTTGCAGGGGCCTTCCACAGCCGCGGAAGGGACTTGGCTGAAAAGTGAGGAAGTGACCAAAGGCCAGGTTGAGTCTTAGCTAGAAATGAATTGTAAAAACAACTTCTTAATAAGCTGAAAACCTGAAGCTAGCTTTGAAAAACGCAGTGATATAAAATGCAGCGATCATGAGCTTAAGAGCCCAGTGTGAAGTTCCAGTGCATGGCTACGCCTGCGCATGGAGAAGGTCCTGTCTGGTGGTGGCAGAGCTGTGGTTGTGCGACCCAGAGCCCTGTACAGCAGCACTGGGAACCATCCAGAAAGTTCTGGAAAAAAGGTGCTTTTGTGGTGCATCTTACGTGATTTGGAAAGGTGGTTTAACTCCTCGTGCAGGTGAGAGTTTCATTCCTGTGAGAGGAGGTTTGCCTGTTAAGATTTTACCAGTACAGATAGCTCAGCAAAACCTTTGTCTTTCTAAGGATTAACTAGGTAAGCAGCAAAGAAGAGTTTCCCTTCCCTATCCTTTATTTAGCCATCAAATCCAAACATAACAAACCTAAAATGTAACTTTTAAAATCAGATGCAAGCTTAGGAGTGTTGCTATGTCAGATGATAAGGTCTGAGACCGCTTCTGTTTCAGTGGCTTCCAGAAATGTTTTAAATCTGAGAAAGGACAGTTTTTTGTGGATCTGATTTACAGACTGGCCAAAGCACCAAAAAAAGATGTCTAAAATCATGGGGCTTTGGTCAGCTTTTGGATTTTTAAGGTAAGTTCTTGATTTCACCATTGGCCAACAAAAAATAAATCTTAGTCCTAGAAACTGAAGTATTTTATATGTAAAGTATATTGGACAGGTAGTCTCTGAGGAAGAAAAGATGGTAGCATCTTCCATCCAAGCTCTTTTACTTATTTTATCCAATGATAAAATGATTCATTACATGCCTTTGTTAACCAATTGTTTCAGTCAGTAAAAGGCTGTATAAAAGTTAATCTGAAAAGCAAAAACTGAGGCTAAGAAATGCAGTAAGGGAGTTGGAGGAGCACAAAGTCCGAGGGAGAGAAAGCAGAAAGGTGTAAAATGGAGCAGAGCAATCCTGGGCTCTCAGACAGTCGTTTTGAATGGGTATTTGTGCAGTGTGGTTAAACAAGAGCAGCTAACAGTCTTACTGCTGCATGGTCAGTGCCTCTGAGCCCCGTGCAGCTTCACTGACCACACTGAGAGATGATGGTAGATGAAAAAATACTTTTAACTTTTCCCAGGCTTCATCTGTTGGGTTTTTTGTTGGTGTTCCCCCCCCACCCCCGTCAAAGTTGACTGGTGTATCATGTTATCTTTGTGATAGCTGGTCTGCATCTCTGCAGTGTGCTCACCCGCATTAGCCCCCCGAGTTCCCCTCCGCCGCCCAGCACCGCGGGGGTAGCACCGGCGCCCACAGCCCTGTGCCCCGCTCTTGGCCGCCTGTGCCTGGTCATGTTCTGGTGGTTGTGCTGGCGAACCCTCGTGCTTTTCTAGCTCACAGTTTCTTTAGGTGATTGTTCTTGCACCGCTTTCTGCTGCTTATTCAGTCTACCACGTGGTTTAGCCGGGGAACTCTGAAGCTTGGTTCAGCACGGTATTTCCTTCATTGAGCTTGCTTTCAGTGACAGCATCTGTAAATATGTTTATCTGGGTGATATTTTATCCTCTGATCCCAAATAATTTTGCTGTTGGTGCTTGTTATTTGTTAAAATTCCAAAGGATTTTTGGATCACAAATACATAAATCTGTCATATATAATTTCTACCTAAAACATTCACTGTCAGCAAAAGTGTTTAATAATTATTCTAAAGTATAAAAAGCTGTATTTTCCCAGCAAAATGCACAGTTCTAACCTTATAATGCATTGTAAAATTAAAAATATATATTATTTTTTGAATGAAGCAGAAACAGCTGAACATTTTTTCTTTTTTGCAGTTTTTTTTTAAATTTAGTACCAAGTTTCTCTCTAGCCATGAAGTACTCAATTCTAGCTATGAGTAGCAGTCAGCCTGCCTGCCGTAAGCTCACCAAAGAGCCAGTATATGTATATTTAATATTTAGAATATTTCTGTGTGAATTTTTGACAGTTGAAGTACTTCTTAGTTTCAGCACCCAGAGAATGATTTCTGCCTTAGCTGTAGTGCTTTCTTCTCAATTACATCTAGTCAAGTAAATACCACATTTTTAACCAAGACTATATGAAGATTGTTCTGCTCAAATTTGTCTACATAATCACTAAAAAAAGATCAGAGAAAAGTTTTAAAATACACGAATTACATTCTTAGAAAAGGTGTACTAGTCTGAAAGTCTAATACTGCTGAACTGTAGAGCAGCCACGCTGGTAGGGATGAAGGGAAACATTAAGAATCTAAAAATGGGAGGAACAGGGAAAAGTAGAGCTGGGTAAAGGAGAAAACAGCCTAAAAATGATGTGGTTTCATTTAGAACATCTTCTCTTCTTTGTTAATGCCTCACTGTAGGAAACAAGTAATACTGTATTTCGACCAAACATCTATTTGTTATGAAAAGTAAATGCCACGGAGGTGACGGAAGAGGTGTTCCGGGGGCCATGGAGCTGAGGCCGGCTCCTCGTCTGTGGAGGCCTGGCAGGTGGCTCCGCCGGCTGTGTTTGGGTTTTGGTCGTGGTTTGTGCCTCCCGGCGTCTCTGGTTCAGCGTTGTCTGTGTCGTGAGCGCCGATGGCGGCAGCGTCCAAACTCGGGTCGTACGCTGCTTCTCCACAGCAGCCGGGAGCGGAGCCGTGGTGGTGGTGCTGTGAGGAAGCAGAATCCAGTCCCAGGCAGCGTGTCCCCGTGCTCTCCTGTCCGTCCTCCCGGTGCCCTCACCTGCCGTCCCGCGGGCGCCGTCTCGTCGGGTCACACCCAGAGTGTCCACAGCTGCTCTTGCCTGCTCGTCGGTCGTCCCTCCTCCCGCCGTGCCTCCCCAGCGCCTGCCGCCGGTGTGCGAAGGTGTACTTGTGAAAGGTGCAGCTAATACAGCTTGTCTGTACTCTTGGATGAAGATAACCACCAAATTGGCTAGGTTTTGTAAAGATTTGTAACTCGGGCGTGTTACATTTATCTAGAGGAGTGAAAGGATTGTTCCTGTTTCAGGTTTTTTTGAAACTGCTGAGAGAGTATGAAAATACACAACTTCGGTATATAAAAAAAACAGTCTCACATGTTGCTGCTTTGACTGAACAATCAGGACAACTATCCTCTGCCGTACAGACCCAGTCCTCATTGTTGGGTGAGACCAGCCTGCTGAGGCCGTGGTGACATACAGCAAGGCTTTGCTCACAGAGCTAGAAACAGGTGCAGATCTAGCAGCTGCCATGGCAAAACAAACTCAGAAAAGCTGAGGAAGGGAACAGCCAGACTTTCTTGTGTGTTTGTTTTAACAGATGTGTTATCATTAGTAGAAGTCTGTGGAGAAGATGATGGTAACCTGCTGGCAGGCGGCCGGCCATGGATGGAGCAGCCAGGGCCCAGCTGCGGGCACGGGCTGGTCGGGTGGGCTGGGATACAGGCTCTGTGACTGGGAGGAAATGGAACTCTTGGACTGTGGTAGGGCAGCTTGGAGGCAGCATTTAGGCAAAAGTCTACTTGTTTCTCAAAACCTACGGTCAGCACGGACCTGGGGACGGTTACCGGCCAAATAATGACAGCAGCAGAGGAGACGGCCTGTCTCAGTGCTGGGTTATACCCTTTCCCACTGCATCCACTTAAAATGCTTTTCTGTCAGACACAGCTGTTTCTCCTTGTTTACATATTTTTCTGCTGTTCCAGCAATTATTTTTTTTAAGAGTAGCTTGTGGCGAGAAACAAGATCGTGCTTCACTCTCCACACTTGAGGCATGGTAACTGTGTGGCTTTGGTGGTAGCTTCTGTTATTCAGCAGTGTGAGAGAATAACAATCCCTGCCAAATGATTGTTAAAGACTAAGAAACAAAAAACCTTTCAAAGAGAAAAAAAGTTTGGTTTTAATTTAAATAATGAAATATTTTTGTTTCTGTCTTTGCTACTTTAGAAACTATATGCTGTAACAGGCAAAGGAATACCACAAAAGGAGTTAAATTTATAACTGTAGTATAACCATGGTCACCTTGCAGCATGCAAAATAGTACTTAGAGTTTCGCAAAGATCAGTCGGGCAGTTCTGCCCATTCTACTGTGGTTCCCTTCTCTCTCCTTCCTCCTCCCCTTCCTTCCCTCCAACAGCCCTTCCCTGTGCTTGGTCCTGCTTGCAGGGTAGTGGCCTGGTGTGTGCAAACATCTTCTGAAATATGGGAAAAAATAGTGATTGATTGGTTTCCAGGTAGTTGTAAGGTAGTTAGTTGTTCTCCAGGGTGTAAAAATAAATAAATTAACGTCCCAGGTAATTTTCAAAACATAATCAAAATATGGTTAAACTTAATCCACTCCAGATATTTTCAGTATTAATCAGGAATACCTTTTTTTGCCACAGTGCAGCTAGTATGAAATACCGCTACAGTAAGTTCCTTTCCAGAAGTAAAGCAGCGACCTTAATCGTATGCTGCTTCAGGGATGGCAGCTGGTGTCATGAAGTAGTTTTTGGAGAGGGCTCACCAGCACTGGGGCCCCTCCGTAATGTGAAGGGCCGTCTGGTTCTGGGGGGAGTCTGGGCGCCGTCGCCCTTTCCACAAAACCCTTTGAGAGCACTTGGCAAGCAATGGGGAGCCCAGGGTTCAAATCCCTTCTTCTCCTGAGAAGTTAAATATTTTCCACTTCTCTTGAGAGTGCCCCAGCTCCCAGCAGCGGGCTTTTGGGAGGGGTGTGCTGCCTTCCCACCCTCCGTCCCCACCTGCTCCCCGGCTCCCTGGGCCCGGAAAGGAGGAGTAGTGCACGGCCTCGGGGCCACGATCGCGGGCCGCCGAGGTGCTGGGGTCACGCGTGGCTCCGCAGGCTGGCACTCCTCTCCCGGCTGCAGGCGCCTCTGTCGAGCATTCTGTCCCAGTCCGGGTAGTGCCGTGTTCTCTGTTTGGTCCAAGGTACAGCAGCTTTAAAGTGAAGCCCTCACAGACTGATTCCAACAGACTTCTTGTCGTCTGTGTGTGACAGCTTTGAGATGCTAGGCTTGCTGCTTCTGATAGTTTTGTGATCAAAGTTGCTATTTTTGAACTGTGCATCTTTCAGTAACTTCCAAGACCCTGGCACTAGATGGAGCCTTAATCTACTTGCACTTAGAAGTCTATTAAGTTTAACCACAAATTAAAAATAGGGAAGAATAAATGAAGATATGTATGCCTGCTGCTACATTTACAGTGCCCTTTTTCCCTTTTGTTAGTGGAGTGCTGTAAGTTAAAACTTAAATTTAATTTAAAGGAAAATTGAAATACTGCAGGAGAATCTCCTTGATCTAGTAGGTGCTTTATAATCATTCTTACTAGCACCCTTTAATGTACTCCCAGGCTCCTGGGAGAAGTTGCTCTAAGTTAGATATGCTGAAAAGGTGCTGCATATTTAAGCAAATAACTCACCTGTGATGAATAAAGGTAATGCCTTTTTCTGAACAAAGTTCCTGTTTATATTTCAAGATGGGATGGGAGTGACCAAGCTTTCTGTTTGCTGTGCTCATTCAGTAATGTATTTGCATTCTCACTTCATGCTATCAAAGCCAACAATTCAGAATCATCTGTTACCAGTCACTTCATTTTTTTCTCCATGTGTTACCCTTGAAAACATTGAACAAATAGAAACAAATAAAAAACAGCTTTGAAACTGTAGGGTTTAATACTTTCCCTTCAGCAAGCACAGTGTCTGACAGGCTGTAGAGCACATAGCAGCTCCTCTGCTCCGTGTATGGACAGGGTTTCATTAAATGGGTCGTTGTAGCTGGTGAGCATCCTTCGGCACCACTGTCGTGTTACAGAAAGCATCAGCATCGTAAAATCTGCACGGTGCATAAACCCACTTTTGTTTCCTTCTTAGATGCCCTTTATCTCATTGTCCCATGTACCAATTAATGTGGCTGGACCACTCTTCCTTTTTACTTGGAAATGGAAAAGAAGATGCATATGCTACGTTTTCACAGATGGGTACAGGATCTACCCACAAAGCTTCCTCTGACCTAAAGATGTAGAAAAATTTCCCGTTTGTAAATGTGGAGGTTAGATCATAGATTAGATGTAAATGTTTAGATAAGGCAGTGAAGTCTGGATGACATCTCGGCAAGGAAACTAAGCCGGTCAGGGAATGCAGAACAAAGGGATCCGTGGTGGCTAAAGACTGAGTAGTTTGTCCAGAGTATGACAGCAGGACCATATTTATGTAGATGTATGTTGTCCACTGCATTTAATTTCTGCCCAAGGTGTGGTTTATGCTTTAAGAAATTCTTGACAAGCATGCCCTTGTCTGCATGGCTGACTTATTTTAGTGTCCCCTTTAAATGTGGATATAGAAAACTGCAGACACACCTCCAGTGTTGTTCATGCCAGTGCCACAAGCAGAGCTAAAATCACCTCCTTGTTCCTTCTTACTACTTGCTCAAGCACAACCAGTTGCTGGAGAGCGATATGTCAAACTGAGAATTCACGCAGACAGGTTTGTCATGCATGGAAGAACTGGGCTGTGCTATTTCTTCTTTATCCATGTATATCCTTTTGTGCAAGAGACTAAATCTTCAGTTACGGATATTTGAAATGTAAAAGTTGATTGGGGAAGCAGTACATCTTTTTTTCTTCAGCATGCTGGAGAAATATTCCAATGTAATTAGTGAGGTTCTTGTTCGGGCTTTTCACCTTTAAAGACTGCTTTGAACTATTGTACTACTGAATGTGCAATAGTGTCGATTCGAACTGACCACAGAGGGAAATGAAAATAAATCGCTTAACCACAGGGAATGATCCTTCCTACCTGCAGGGATCAGGCTAATGGAATCCAGGAAGGAAGCAGCAAACATGCTCTTACCTCTACTGGTGTAAACCCAAAGGGATACCACAACCTTGAATGGAGTGAGTCTGGAGCAGCGTGCCTTGGCGTACTCTGGGAGGGAAGCTCTGCCTTCCTGATAATTATTATTAAAATCTGATTCTTGTAATGATTTATTTACCTTCTGTGGCAGATGCTTTTTGAATTTGATGCATCAGGTGCTTGAGGACAATGTGCTATACAAATACCGCTTCCAAAGAAGTTGTCTGGAGTCCTTTCCTTTTGTTGTGTTGGCAGTCTGGCAGCATGACAGCACCATGAATGAGGAGGGAAAAGGGCAAACACAGACGTGTTCTGTAGACACCAGGGCCGGAATCTGATGGTGTCTTGTTCCTTGTGATGCTAGCACTGCTGATCTCCGAATGATTCCTGGTTCAACAGAATTAGGTCTGTAGTAACTGTGGCAACCCAAACCACAGAAAGCAGCTTATGACCTAAAGCTGAAGTTGCTCCTCTTTGAGTATTAATGGGGCGTTTTTTTCCTCCTAACCAGCTATGTTAATTGGCCAAGAAAAGAAAGCAAAACAGCTGTTCTTCGATTACAACAGTGCTTTGATGTTTGTATTTCTCCCTGACCTAATCTCAGGAACAGGAAAAAACCAGAAGTTGTGAACTGAAATGATGATACTCGTAACGAATGTTGTCATTAAAGCACTGAACATTTCTTTGTTGCTCAACTACAAAATCTGACCTTGACTCTCAATCTTCTTGCAGGCCTGTCCTTTAAGGGACTGCTCTGTCCAGCGGGAGAGTGTGAATGGGCCAGGCAGGGTGCGTGAGAGCCCTCTGCAATTGCCCGCAGCACCACTTAGACATGGCCTGCGAAGAGCCACCAGAACTGTCACTGTGTTCTCTTCTCGTCGCCTTTCTGATAGGTAAAGAAAGCTTTGTTTGTTTCTTTAATTCTGTTATTTATCTCAGGAATGCCTGTGATGCTCAGTCTGTGACATCCGAGGAAAGCTTATTGAAATCTCACACACAAACTTTACAGATTTATTCTGTCATTTACCACTGCACTGGCTCTTGGTCACCCTGCAGCCTCCCTGTCAAGCAGGGCTTCCATCTCTATTGTTAATAACACCCGCTTGCTAATTTAAAAAAGAAGCATGCTCAGCCACTTCGGTTCATCTTTATTTCTCTTCAATGAGCAGATGAGGATATAAGCCAAAATCTTTTGTCTCCATCACAGCTCAATGTTAACAGGTGAGCAGGAAATAATATTGTCACATTGCTCCTCTTTGGAAGAGACAGACACGCTTCTTGAATGTGAGAGGCCTAGGCATGGAACGGGCACTAGGCTGTTCTACAGTGTTAAGGCTGATGTGCTTCTCAGTGTATTCAGATCTTTTTCTGGGTCTCTGGAGACTGTGACTTCAGAAACAAGGCATCTGTGAGTTTAGGCAGCTGGTAAGCAGTAATGTTAGAGCACTGGGCCCCTGAAGTGGCTGGACCCTTCTGGAGGCTGTTGTGAGAATGAGGATGTCTGCCAGAGCGGGAGTTGGACTCAGAAGTGAGCCTGGTCCTCCAGCCTCCCACTGCCCTTCTCCCTGGCAGCCAATTTCTCTCTGGGCCTTCCCAGGCTGTAAACTGCTTGTGCCTGAGTTGGTTTCCAGACTAGCTGGCCTGAGGCAGCCTGCCAGGAACGTGGAAAGCTCTGTGCTGTGGATAACTCCCAACCCGACCTTTTGTACCGAGCCAGTTACCAGCAGCTGGGAAAGGTCGCATCATCAAAGCTTTCTCGCCTTAGTAGAAGAATGTGGCTGCTTTTAACGGTTTGCTGGCCAAAGTAGGTGTGTGGCTAGCACGCTGGGTTGCAGGGTTGCAGTCATCTCGTCAGGCTTCGTCCGGTTGTTGGGGGGGTCCCCTTTGGGTTTTCTTGGGCTGGGTTGTTTGGGGGACGGGAGTTGGTGAGCTCTGCCTCTGCTCGCCTCCCACGACTTTCCTGGTGCCTCTTGCTGCCACATGATGTGGCTGCTTTCGCCCGCTCCCACGTGAGTATAATATCAGATTCAGGGCAGAGGCACAGGAGAGCAGCAGCCTTTCCATTCTTTAAAGGCCATTTGTAAAGATAAAGGGCTCAATACTGGTTTACTCGGGCAGGGTTTTTTTGGGTGGTATCAAAACAAACCCATTTAAATAATTACAACATTTTCCCCACATTTCCTTTACGTGCCATTTTTCATGGACCATGAGGCCGCGTTCACTGCCTGCTATTGCAGTATATTCCAAATACAGTGGAGCGTCAGACTCTCGTGTGCTAATGCTGTTGCTGGGCAGCTGCTGTCTGTGTTTCTGCCTAGACAAGCTCCATGTTGCTGTGATCACCTTATCTTGACCATAGAACATTGGCTTTTGTTTCTTGTTGTAAGTGAGAAATAGCAGTCCATAGAGCAGATTTATTTCATTTTACTACTAAAGCGTTTCTTCTGAGGGAACAGCAGGCTGCATTGGGCGAGCGCGCGTCAGGATGCAAAGATCCCGCAGTCCCAGCACCTTGCACTGTGCAGGCCCTTGTTACAGAGAGGATCCTTTGTCCTGCGATGTGTTAATGAGAAATTCCTTGCCACTTTCAGCTCTGGTAATGGCAACTATAATACTTGCTCTAGCAGCTGATCTAGCTAAGGGAGCAGTTGTTTTGTGTGTTTCTTGGAGGCTAATGCAGTGCTACTGCTAAATCTTTACAGCTCTGTCATGTTAATGCCAAAAAAAGAGAGAGTATTTGATTTTCTTAAAAAAACAAACAAATTGACCACAAACCTTGCTTTTTGTGGTCAGCCCCTCACAAATGCCCTGGACTCCATTCAGTTCGTTCTTTTGAATAATTTCAGCATAAGGCCCTTGTAAAGTTTGCTCTAAAATGGATTCAGGCCAAGCCTTTTGTTTGTTAGTAAAGAACAAGTTATAGACAGTAGATCTTTCTTTCTTGTTTAATATGTATAAGCTTCTTTTACAAGCCCTATCCAAAGAATGTTCAGTTAATTACTCAAAGCATCTTGTTATTTGGAGCCCCTGCTTGTCAGGGAAGTGAAACTGCTTTTGAAAAAGCGCAGGCAGTTCTTTGTGACTGTTCTGTTCCCCGCTGTAGGGCCCGGGCGAGCACTGTGCACTCCTCCTGCTGAGGGCAGACCCTCGCTGTGCCTGGTTCTCCTGGTGCTCCAACACAGGGAGGAATAACTGCCACGGGGTGAACTGCACTGAGGGATGAAATTGAGCAGCATGAGAGGAGGGTTTGGGCAGCTGCCAGGGTGATGGGAGTCGAGCTGACCTCTCCGCTTTCCCATCGTCTGGCCGAAGCAGAGCTGGGCAGGGATGCTGAGGGGACACTATATGCTTGTTTTTCCCAAAGCGGGTCACCGATGTTTTCAGATAAATGCTGTGAGCTGGTGGTGATTCAGATCTGGTTTTTGCAGTAGCTACCAGCTGATGGGCAGCCTTTCTGCTTCCCGCAGAGCCTGGCTGTTACCCAGAGGGCTGGCACGCAGCTCTCCTGTGCCCCTTCCTCAGCCCAGGGGAACAGCAGTCATGTCGCGTGCCTGTGGGGAATGGTCCTTGGCATCAGGGATCCCTGTGCCCTTCCTCGGGATGCCCAGGAAGGGGCACGTGGGGGGGGCTGGGGGTAGTGAGGACCAAACGCAGGGGTGTTGTGGTCAGACCCCTTCTGTTAGTCCTGCTCCTGCTCCCGACCGGGAACAGGATTGTGGCTCACGTGCTGCGGGCACACGAGGTGGGAACCGCTTTTCCTCACGTGCCGCATTAGTGTACAAAGCGGGGGTTTAATGTTAATCCCCTGGAGAGCTGCGGTAGGAGCTGCCCGTTAGGGCCGTGGCACAGCAATTAGACCCGGGTGATTAGCGAGGGAGCGCTGGGGCTCTGCTCTGGCACAGCGGGAGCACGTGTTCTCCTGTGAAGTGCGTGGAGCTGGGCCTGGGCATGAGTCTTGGCTTTGGATGGAGGCAGGAGCCAGGGGACAGGCTCTCAGGGTTGCTGGTTTCCATTCCCTGCCTGGAGCATGGGTTAGGAACCAGGGCAGGAGCCCCGAGTGCCCTGGAGGAGACCCAGCGGGCAGTGGGGAGTGGGGGGGACCTGCCTGCCGCCGTGTCCTGCTGCCGGCACCAGCCGTCCCTTCCTTCTGCTGTGAGAGGCTGAGCCATGCTCCCGCCTGGAGAAGGCGCCGGGCAGAGCCACGGCACTGGCGGCGGCAGCGAGGCCTCGCCGGCAGTTGTGCCCTCCGGAGTACAGCAGCTCTTTCACATCAGAAAGAAGGAAACGTCCAATCGCAGAGACGGCCGCCTCTCCGTCAACAGCAAACCAAGTGACCTAATTCGGCGCAGCAGCAGCTCCTCGGGGGCGTCCCTCAGCAGGCTCCATGGCAGGCCATGCCGAGCTGACTCATCACTTCCAGCGTGGCAGAGATTGGAGCTTTCGGGCCCTAAGGATTTGATTTCACTGTTTCTTTATTATTTTTAATATTGATTAAAATGAATTTTTAAAATACCAGGAGAGACTTGCCTTAAGAAGTACACATGAAAAAAGAAGGAAATAGTCGGTCTGTGGGAGTTAACAGTGTGCTTCACAATCTCTCTGGCTCATATAGCTGCGAGCACCCATTGCAGTTTGGAGGAGTCTTATGTCAGCTATTCTATCCCAGTGGATTAGCAAATACAGGATTAATCCGTTATTATTATAAAAAAGTGAGAATTATAACTGTCCTCACTTTCACCCAGCACAAACCCGCCGCTGTCCTTGCCCACGGTAGGATGGTCCCACAGGCGTCTGCGCTCCGCTACAAGGCTTTGTCCAGAAGCCGGGACCCCCGAAGGAAGCACGGGAGCATCCCGTTCTCTCCCAGCATCGCCCACTGCCAGACAAATCTCCCCACGCGGTGCAGAGGCTCCCTGGGGCAGCCTGTGGGGTGTCTTGTACCAGAACAGGCTGTGGGGCCTGTGCTCAGCCTGTGCTCAGGGTGCCGGTGCGGGCGTGGGCGGTAGCAGATGGGTGCAGGAGCCGTCTTCCCGCTGTCAGAGGGCAGTCGCAAAGGAGCTCTTCCCCTGGGCCATTCTCACTTGCTGTTCTTGCCTCCGCTTTGCTGGCTGGAAGCTGCCTTACGCTGCGAAGCAAGAGGGTTCCTGTCCCTTGTGATTTCCATCTGCTCCGGTGTCACTGCACAAATCAAGGTTACACGGATATTTCAGGCTTTTCCTCTGCCTCTCCCCTCTCGCAGTGGTGGGAGGCGGGAGCAGGCTGCCAGCAGCCTGGGGGCAAGGACCCTTCCCTGCCGTGGTGGACTCCAGAGATGCAGGAACACTCTTCTTGGAGGCTGCAGAAGCAGGGCCAGAGCCCTCTCCACATGGGGAATTCTCCCTGGAGGTTCACCCTGGGGACACCGTCCCCCAGCATCCCACCTGCTGCATCGGAGGAGGCAGGTGGGCAGTGGCTCTCACCCCCACGGTGCTGCGCTGTGAGGAAGCGGCATGGGGTCTGGCCCTGGCTCCTCAGCAGGGATTGTTCTCCATCCTGGTGAAGGTCAGGGCAAGCTCAGACAGCATGAACAGTAGATTAATTGATAAAGCTTTCTGTCCTGTGAACAAATAGCAACAAATTAAAAAGAAAAAAAATGGCAGGTGAAAAGCTGTGGTACTTCAGAGAAGACAGAGCGGGAAGCTGAGAGGAGTGAAGGAGCAGAATGTGGCATTCACCTGGAGATAATGAAGCAGTAGCTTTTGTCAGCCCCTTTTATGTCTAGCTAAAAAAAAGAGACCTGCTATTTCAGTAAAACTAAAGAATAAAAATCTAAAAAACCCCAGAAAACCTCTGCAGAAACAGTTTGACACGTTATTGATTGAAGTAATGGAGCATGTGGAGTTCTAAGAAGTTGCATAAATGCATCTTTGGTCTTTTAAAAATCCCTCTAAAAGACTCATATGCTGTTCACCCGTCTCTTCTCATCTCTAGGTCTCAAAAGCTGAACTGCTCTGAATTCACGTGCCAAAGCAGGAGCTAATTTTCCTGACTCCATGCCCCGCACTCAGCTGTCGGTCCTGCCTGCAATGCCCAAAGCAGATGTTGCCGTGGAGGAGCCTGGCTGAGGAGAGACATGGTTCCGTTCTCCCCGAGCAGGCGGCGGTGCCAGCTGGGATGCCCGGAGCAGCCCGTCGCTGTCCTGGCCCTGGGAGCTCAGGTAGGACAGGTTCTTCCGCAGCCCTCAGAGTCCCGCGGCCAGCGGCACAGCTTTGTCCGGGCTGGGTCACCACGTCCTGGAGGGTGACAAAGGGCTGGTGTGTTCTCTGTGGTGTGCGGGTTAATGCTTTGTCTGAGAGTGGCTTCTGTGTAAGTTTTGATATGTGTTAATTTTGTGACTGAAGGCTTTCAAAATTAATAGGTGATACTAGTGAATTCCTTCCTGCACTTAAAAGACTCAGATTTAGTGTTTTACTCTATTCAGTGGGGTAAGAAGAACACTGGGTTACAGACTGTTCTTGCTTCATTCATTTTGTCAATTGTAGTTTTAGTTTTAATTATTTATAACACACCATAATGTACTAGTTAATTTACAGTAGCATATTCCTGTACAGTAATGAAATTAGTGACATGAGGCTTATTGCAGCACTTGCTGTTTACTCTTTGCTGAGTAATATACACGTTAATTATATGCATATTAGAATGGCTTTAAAATTATATATAGACTCAGCTGGAGGGTTAATGTCTTTTAGACTAGCTGTTCTTCATGTAGTTAAAAATAGTGTCATCTAAGACCTGATCCTAAAGTACGTGAAATCAGTGTGACTGTTTGTGGAAGGAAGGTTCTGGCAATGTGAAATTCTTTAAATCTTTAAATCACATTTCAGTGTTTTAAGGGCAATATTCTTGATAAAGTTATCTTGTTCCTATTTCCTTTTAGTTAAAAGGTACCTAACAAGACTGCCTTCTCTGTCCTCCTGGGTGGCTGCAAAGTCTGTTTAAGCCCTGTTGCTGTTAATGATGAGCACGGGTGCAAAGGTCAGAGAAGTGCTGGCCCTGTGGCAGCTTTTGGCTTTGACAAAACAAAGTGCTGTCAGATTCACAAGGCAAACAGACTTGAAAATAGAGAAAATATTTTTTCACATTTTTTTTAAGTTTTATCACTCAGCTGTGCTATTTGTAGTAGTAGTAGACATAACATTTGCAGAAAGAAATGTGACAGATCTATTCAGCTGGCAATACTAAGTTTCTCTGTGCAGATACCGCATCTTGCCAAAAATTCCTATCCTGTGGTGAAAGTTGTGTGTAGTTACCTACCAAGACAACTGGCTGTCTTTATTATGCATTTCCATTTTTTTGAGCTAGAGATAAGACATGCCTAGATATGCCAGGAATTAAAACAACCTGACATGTCCATTCTTGTTTGGTGAAAATGCTGCCCTGTATTCTCAGAGCAAAACAGTTACACTCTCTGTATTGTCACAGGTTCTGCTATTTAGTGGTAATAGCTGTCAAGCATCAAAAACCACAACAAAACAAACAAGAAAACCCCAACGGAGGATATTCTTCCTTGCAAGTGCCCTACCTCACTCCCTGTTTCGCTTCTTCTAGCCCCAGGCTAAGGATAGTGCTTCTGAAATGAGTGATTCACGCCCTCCAGCTACACTAGCAGCCGGCCTCCGAGGGTTTGGTATTTCCTGTTCACCCTCTCACAGCGGGTCGGTGTGGAACATGCAGAGTCCCTGCTGGATCAACAGCATCTGGGGGGTTTTGCCCCTCAAAATTCAGCGTATGTGAATAGGTCACATCAAGTAATTGAGCTGCATTTTCTTTCTCCCCGAGGCTTTTCTGGAGGAGCTGCCATTGCCTTGCTGGGTCAGAGCGATGGGCGCTGTGGGGTGAGCACCCTGCGCTCCTCGCAGCGGGGCGGGCAGGCGGGCTGGGCGCAGGAGGTGGCGGGTCGGGGACTCCTTCTGCGACTGCCTGGTTGCCCACCAGCCCCTTTGTTGAGCAGCGCAGCTCCGGCCGGGCTCCAGTGACTGAGGAGAGAGCCGCAGGCCCCCCCCGGCAGCGGGGCTGAGTGCGGGGCCACCAGCAGTGAACTGCTTCAGTCCACTGGAGGACAGGGCAGCAGGGTGTAAAGCTTGGCCTCAAAATCACACCTGGCGTTGACACAAGCATCCCTCTGGGAGAGGCCGTGCCACATGCCCTGCAGGTCAGCGCTGGCTTGTAGCTTCCCCCTTCGACAGGTCCGTACGACAGACGGGTTTTCCAGAAAGCCTGTGACTGGCTAAACCCCGCAGGGTGGGTGGATGTTGGCTCTGAGCAATCCCTGCAGGGCAGCAGTGCGCAGGGGAGGTGGGCCGGGGTGACAGGACACCGAGGGGGGGATGCAGAGGAGCCAGCTGTCTTGTAGTGAAGGGGACGGCAGCGTAGTCCTTGTTTTAGATCAGCAGCTGAGCGGATCAGCCGGGGGTGTAAATGTCTCCCTGAGCTAGCCAGACTTGGGGCGGAGAGGTGGGGAGGGGATTACGTGGCTCAGCCCGACCTAAGGTAAAACATCTAAACAACCAGCAGAGGATTTCCAAGAGAGCAGTGGATTTGAGCTGGCATCAACCCCCATGTCCCGTCCCGCCGCCCAGGGACGCCCAGTGTCATGGCAGCAAGCGTGTTACAGAGACCAGTCGTGGGAATGGGCTGGTACGGGGGCTGAGCTGCGCTGTGCAGTCACTAACTCACACTTGTATTGTGCTTCTGGTATGGTTCATATCACGCTGCTGCCTCAGGCCTCCTGCTGCGGAGCGCCCGCGTGCCTGCTGCAGCTCTGCACAGCCCGGTCCTGTCCACTCCCTGACTGCCCTCCCTTCAAACACCCGGGTTACTGTGGTGATAGCCCACCCGGTATTTGAACATCACAGTACTTCACTGCACAAACATACGCTTTTCAGTAAAGAAAAGGACTACTCAGGGCAAGGACCAATGATGGAGTTTGATCTCCAGTAGATGATGGATAGAAACCAATAGATAAAATGTGCCCTTATCAAGCACAGAAAGCACTTTCCAGATGGGAACACAGTACCCAGCCAAGGAGTGAGGAATTTCCTCCTTTCTGAAAATTTGTTTTGATCTATCAAATCTACCCCATTATTATTTTTCCTATGAACAGTGCTTTCAGCCAAGCCTTTTACAAGAAGTTCCATCCCCTTCTCTTGTATTGCACAAGGCTCCCACATTTTAAGTGATACTGAGCTGCACGTCAAACCCCAGGTCCCCTTCCACAAGCCCTCCAGGCCACGGCCTGCGGCACAACACCTGGTTGTACACTCTACACCCCCTTACCTCCGGGAGCCTGGCGCCTGTTAGACCCTTCCCCGGGAAAACTGCAGAAAGACACGGTATGCGTTTGCTTAAGTCTCCATGGAATTAATGTCCAGGGTAAAATTTGGCCCATAGTATTTTATGACACCAATAATTTTGCTTTTAAGCATAAAGGTTTGGGGAAATTAAAAATTCCAGTGCTCCAGAGGGAGCAGAGCCAGATCCGCTGTAGCCATCATGCGGTGCAGTGTGAGAGCACAGCCAGACTGGAACACAGTTCACAAGCAGCTGGTGCAAACTGTGTTTATAGTGGTACCTTTATTTCATGCACATCCATCCAGGTAAACAGGACTCTGTTGTTCAGTCAGTAACAGATTCTTTGTGATTTAGTCTTGCTGATTTTTTAGAACTGTTAGCATCAGAGCACTGGTGGCCTGTGGTTTCTCGTCCTTGCTTATGCACCACGTCTGTTCAGTCCTGGGACAGTAAAAATGACCCGTGCCTCAGGAACTTGCCAGCCAGGCTCTGCCTGTCCTGACCTCTGCGTACAGTGCCCGCACCCTCACCAGCACCCCAGGGGCTCTAGGCTTGTGCAAGAGACACGGGGAGGCAGCACCGTGTGATGGAGCAGTAACATGACAGCATCGTCCCATGTCCTCCTGTGAAGGAGGAACTGCAGCAGTGATTTATGCAGACCATTCCACACGAATTGAGGCAGAATTTTGTTAATCCATCTTGGGAGACACAGAGTACTTTGGTGGCAGTTGGCTTCTCACATTTCTGTAAAGAGTGTGTGTGTATATTGTAGAAAGGCAGAAAATAATTGAGAGCATTAGTGGGGTTTTTTTGTTTGTTTCTAATGTGCTCGTTAGGGATTTGTTAGAAGGAAACCTGTGCAGTTAAGAAGGTAAGGAAATCTTACCAGGAGCAACACCCAGGTGCAGGTACTAAATGCCTGCAGGCACCTGAATTCAATTGATGCAGAGAAGCTGAATTTAAAACCCACTACAGAACAAAACGGGGCCAGCTGGAGGATTTCCTGTAAGAGAAAGGAAAAGCCTGGGGAAGCGGCAGGCAGAAACAGGGAGCTGAGGCGTTCGTCCTGGCTGTGAGTAGTGTCTCTGGAAACGGGGAATGGGAATGGCTTGGTTTGGTCATTTGGCCTAGCGAACTATTCCAGTTAGTGCTTTTTTCATCTAGCATTCAAAATGTTGGAGGGATTTTTTTTTTTTAATAGTACTTTTATGTGGGGTGAGGCTGAGTAAGTACTCATTATAAAAAGCTCCAGAAACACCATGCTCCTGTCTCTGAGCACAGAGAGAAATGATAGAAGATACAGAAAAACTTGTCAGGGTTACTGAAATGCTGGGGTTTCAACCTCAAGCCCCAAATTAAGGTTGACATAGGGGTGATTCCCACAGTCCTTCCCAAAGGGCTGGTGAGTTTCCCTTTAAGCTTCCCTGCAGGGTGGGGCCGGCCTGGCAGGGAGAGCCATTGGGTAAATGACCCCCAGGTGTCCCCCATTAAGTAAACAAGGGTCAGCTGTCCCATCTAGGGGATAAAAGCTGGGACCACTTGCAGGAAGGGGCGGTGTCTGTCTGTGAGGTGGAGGCATTTTGCAGTTCCCTGTTGGGGAAGGACCTCCCGTCTCCCTGGGACTGGGCTCCAGTCAGGTCTGGCTTTTGTAAATGTGGGCTCTGCAGAGATCTATTATGTAGCTTCCTTGATCTTATGTGTTTGGCTTGTTGACCTGGTTGTCTCCCATCCCTTCTATGAGAGATTGCATTTCACCATTTATTCCACCCGTTGTTGGTCGTGCAGTGTTGTTATTGGGACCATTGGGATTGATGTTGATGATGTGTAACCTGACTTGTTTGTACCCCAGCGCTCACCCATGTACTG